CATAGCAGCGGGAATCATTAAAAGAATAAGGTTAGTGAAACTGGTGGCAGCGGCAGCAGCTGTCCATTCAGCTTGCACTGTACTTTCAGCAAGGGGAAAGGGTTGAATCCCTTAACAAGCAAATGATTTAACGGCTGTGGAATTGTGAATTGCTACTGGAATTCCACAGAAAACACTAGATGGTGCCAGTTTGGAAGTGGGGGACAGTCCATTATCTCAGGGTTATGGAATCCTGGCCTGGCCCTAAGGGGAGAATCTCTTCTAAGTTTGTCCCACTACAACTCTCATCTGTCACGCTGAATATATTCCTCCCTGCTGCCTTAAGAGGATCTGCCATGAGTTCTTGCCCAAAAAAGCTATTTTCAGTCCATTTAGACCATAAGTCATTCCATGGGAGTAAAACCCACAGCCCATCTGGAAATCCTCGCTCAGGCTGATCCTTGATCTCTAGAACAAAAATCAGCCTCTCAGGCTAGTAAAGAACATGCTTTTTGCTGGGCTGAATGGAACTTCATCAGTTAGATGGTGAAATATTATTTTGCTGGCTCAGATGGCTGCTGGCAGCTTGAGAACTGGATCTGGGTCTCTGCCAGCTATCTAATGCTAATTTTTCCTTCTCAGGTGAGAGAAACTGAAACCATGGACCCAGAGAAGTTTGGGGAGGTCTATTTCTCATCTGGTGCCTTGCCAGATGATGAAGATATTGGCGACCGCAGGCCTGCAATCAACGAGGATGACTGGCTTTCTGGTTCTGGAGATGAAGGTACATAAGCAAGAAAGACAGCCTTTAAATTGGAATCTTCCTTTGACTATTGCAACTTCATAGTTCTGACCTGGGGAAAGGTACATGGATAGACTTGCTCATCCATTAGAGAGTCTAAAACTTAAGTACATTGATGGGAACAGCTAAAGGGCACCATACCTTGCTGTGCAACTCCTTTTGTCTTCTCTCTCTGAGGGGCATCCAAGTAAGTCACCCTGTAATGAGGTTACATGCTATCTTCATACCTTTCCCCAGAGGGGACTGTTTTGTAAAGTTAACAAAAACTATTTCAAAACTCCTCTCCTCTCTCCAGACCCAGCATTTGGAATCTTCCATCTTTTCCCCTAAGACCAGTGTAGTAGTGCAAGCTAGGCAAGTAAAAGGAGTAAAGTTGGCATTTTCAGATAATTTCTTGGCTTTCCAAATTCCCATCACCAACTAGTTCCAACAGCTCCTTGTTGACTTTTTTGTATGTGCACATTGTGTTCTCAAAAGCATGCTCTGAAATTGGCACATGGCATGTTTGGACATGTCTGGTGGTTAGTGTGTTAGCAAATTATCCTCTGGGGTGGATGTTCAAACAAGTGCCCTGCAAAGCCTGCAGTGCACAATAGTGTGTATTGGCTTTCTGAGCAAATCCTAGCACCCTGCAGCAAGAGCCACTTGATGGAGCTGAAGATTTCTATCGCTGAGTGAGATAATCTTGAATTTGCATCATGGCTTTATGTAATCAAAATTGTGTTAATGGGTGAAAGTAATCTCCGATAATAGGGAACTTTAATCAAAGCAGAGCCCTAATTAGGCAATAGTAGGTACTGGCTGGGCTTTGGGAAAACACTCTGAAAGCAAAAGAAAACTAATACTGTATCTTTTTTGAATGTTTTCCAGATGCTGAAACTGACTTGGCTTCAACCATTGAAGAGCATCCTAGGGTAGGTGGTGTTTTGAGCAGTCTCAGAAAAACCTAGTCCAACAGCTCCTTTCTGTATGTCAAAACAGCCATCTGGCCTGCTTGTGAGGCTTTTGTTGCCTTAACTCCTCCCCTTCCCCTAGCAACTGACTTCCACATCCAGTCCATGGGTGTGAGTGGGAATCATGTGCTCACAATGCACTGAATGCAATGGTCCTACCATTAAATGGTGTCTGCCCTGCATCTCCTGTCTCACTCTGTTTTGAAGTGTGTTGTAGCTGCTCATTACAAAGTGTCTCTGCTTTATTCAGTTCTCTAGTGACAATTCTATCCCTGAAGAAAACCGAATAAAGGATGTAGATGAAAACCTGGTCAGCAATGAAGTAATTCCACATAAAGTCTTGCCCCCTGAGGAAATGAACCCGTCCAACAAGATTTCAATGGCCAGTACAGCCAATAGCAGCCTCTTTGAGAGAAAAGAAGTCCTTGCAGGTAACTTCACTGTCCCCCAAAATCTAGTGATACATCAGCCACACTGTAAGTGCGGGGGAGGAAGGGGAATTGGGGAATGACAAAAATGGGGTTGTATGATTGGTCACCTCTAAAGGCGGGGAAGAAAAGTACACAATCCACAAGTCACTTGCAACTGAGCCAATCTGGCTTTGTTCCAGAAAGCTTTTTAAAATTATGGATAAACTGGGTTCCAAGTAACTTCTGGACTTTAGATGCCACTTGGACTGAAAACGTCACACTTAGCATGATAAAAGCTGCTAGTAAAAGGCTCCAAAATGCTGGAACTCTGGGATAGATGTTCTGGTTTAGACAGAAGTCTAATGGGGTAGCAGTTTCCTCCTAAATACTCATCTGTTTACTTCATACTCTCTTTTAGCTCTTATTGCAGGTGGGGTAGTGGGTCTGCTGTTTGCCGTCTTCCTGATCCTCCTATTGGTCTATCGCATGAAGAAAAAGGATGAGGGCAGTTATGACCTTGGCAAAAAACCCATCTATAAGAAGGCCCCTTCAAATGAATTCTACGCTTAAAGGCACTAGCACCGTGTCCCCCATCTGGGGTGAGAAACTGACTCTTAAAGCATTTGGACCTCAGCTGAGATGCTCTGAACAAATGCGGTCTTGGATCTAATTTCAAAGTGACTTTTTAAAAAAAATCTTCCTGCACAACCATTCCATCTTGCAAAACTAATCAGGGTACAATAAAATGCGAAGAGTTTGGAGGGGAAATATGGTCATGACTCTATTTGGCAGGATGTGGGGTGCAAAAGATTGCCAAATCCTTATTTTTGGTTGAGTAGAAGATGTATATAATGCTGTTTATATGGAAGCTAACTGTATGGAGAGTTGCACCCAGATGCAAACACAATTTGCCTTTGTTTTATATAAGGTTTTTTTATTCTGTTTTTCCCTATAGTACTGGGCCTGTTCTGCAGCAGATTGTCTCTCTGAATTTTTGTACACTACTGTGTATCATTGCCTTTATTAGGGAGCTGCTTTGCCCTCTGCTCAGGATGCCCATATGCCATAAAGGGTCCATGGGAGAAATAACTACATGGCTTATATGGCTGTTAGGAAGAAATCTCCTCTTCCTTTTGGTAGGGTCACTATTCATAAAAATCAGGGAAGTCTCTTAGTTTGCTTGATTCTGAGACTAAACTTCCTTTGCACCAAGTCTCATAAAGGTTAGAAATATTACAATTTAAGGTAGGCTTTTATAAACTTAGTAGGAAAAATAGCCGAATATTATGTTTGTAGAAATAAAAGGTACTTTTAAAAAAAATTTTAAATCCTTTTGTTTCCTTTGGCTGGGCATTTCTCTAGATGTATAAAACAATATACAATTCATATTCTGGAGCAGCATTGGCTACAATGTTACAGGTTCTCCATTTCTATTTAGCAGCTACTGTATGCAGTTGATAAAGATATGTATAGGGATTTTTCATAATTTGTTTAATTTGATTTTTATAGGATTATTTATAGTTCCTTCTCATGACTTTTCTTTTATATATAAAACACTAATATAATGAATCTCTTATGATTGTGAAAACTATTTAAGCTTTATTCTGTGAATTTTTAATTATGAACTGAAGACAATAACTTCTGCTAGAATTACTCTATGCAAAATTGGATTCTCAAAACATGATTAAAATATATTATAGGGAAAGCTGGGATTTTTTTAGCCTGTAATATATTGTAATCATTCCTATAGAGCTATATATTATATATATTTTTTCAGCAAAGTGTACAAATGTTAAGAATAAAAAAGCTAGAGGCTTTTGGGCTTGTGCAGCCTTACTGTGTGTAAGGGAGGGTGTATTGATCTTGTTTATATGCTGCTCTGTGTGTGCAATGTCTGTTTTATGTTGAATGCAGTAACATTTTCCTTGTGGTTTTTGTTCCTAACTGCTGGGGAGGCAGGCTTAATGGTTGCTGAAGTTCTAGGTCACAAACTCTGTGCATTCTGCTCACTGCATTCAAGGCATATGCAGTGACCATCCCATTTGCTTCCATGGGTTAGAAATGGGTTTGGTATGTTGAAAATGTCAGTCTTGCATCTTCATAGCCAGGTGGTGGATCTGAGATCCCTTGTCCCTCATTTTCAAAGTGACACTCCTGATTTATGGCATGAGATGCAAACAATAACCTTTACCTTTTCTTTCTCTTGGAAAAACTGCTGTTCAGTTTTATTGCCTGAGCTGCTATTTTAAGTGGTTTTTAACTAGTCTCCTTATTCCCTTTCCCCTTCAGAAGGATGGCTTTCACTATTTAGATTAGAATATTGTTTGATCCTGTCTCCTGCTAAGGTGACTATGGCAACACTGACCTTCCTGAAGCCACTTGCTGTTAACACATTAAGAAAAAAAGTTCTAATGATCACTTAAGCAGATCCTACCTCTGTCAGAGTTGGTCTAGTACCACAAAATTTTCAAAATGAGTAGAAAATGCATGCCTGTCATACAGGGAGGGCTTTTCTGGCAGTCTTTGGCCAGTTCCAGAATTGGTATACAAAATTCCCACCTATCTTGGTTCTGTTGCATCAGTCTTTGCTAGATCTGAGCCTCTACTTTATTCCAAATACACAAGGAAGATTACAACATAGCTGACTGGGGTGGAAGAGTGGGGGCAACCGCATAGTTCATAGCATGGTGTGATGTCTTGCACAAGACTGCTTAAAATTACACTGATTCTGAAGGCCGTGGAGAATTTTTTTTTCCTTAGACCTGATTCTCTTTGTAGCTATGAAGAGCCTGTATAACCCAGCTGAAATCGGTGCAATTGCACCTGCTTCTAGACTGGTGTAAGGGGGAGAAACAATTGAATCTCTTCTGTATACCATAGATGTGGGGCAAGGGGTCTCCTCTCTGGACTCCATGCTGAAGTTTGTAACTTGGGAACCCTTGAACCAAACACTTTTTCCAAGAGGCAGTGACCTCCTGCTAGAAAAACAAGCTTGCTTTAGAACCTAGCTCTGGAATTAATATGTGGAAACTTTTTTTAACTCTGCTATTCTGTAAATAACCCATTTGTAATGATCTACAGACAGCACCACCTGTGAATTGTCTCTTTTTTTGATATTTGGAAGTCTCTCTTGTAACTGCATTTTGTTTGGGGTCTCTCCCTAACCTCTGGTACTCTTATCAATAAATTGGTACTTTCTAAAACATTGGGTGTTTCCTTTTTTTGCATAAATGATGCATGGTACTTATATTTGACATTTGCATAGACTTAACTAATTTACACATCCAATTGAATGGAGATCCAAATTGGCTTAAAACCTAGTTACATGGGTTTAATGCAAGCATGTATGTCTACTGACAAGCTAATTGGATAAGCTTAAAACCACATTTGCAGAGCTTATCTGTATGAGTTATTGAAGAGTAGTAGCTCCTGATTAAATCCATGTGTGAATGTGGTGCTTCTGGAATAAAAGCCTAGTCCAAACTTGCTTAAAGTGAACTCATATGGATTATCTTATTTCAGATTAACACAATAATTAAAGTGGTTAAACTCCAGGTATGCACAGAACCTCAGAGCTACTGTTGCCTTCAGGATTCAGTGCACCTATTCAGCTTCTCCATCTCCTAGCCTCACACTGTTAGAGATGGACAGCTTGAATACAGTGGTGTGGGCAGTCTCTCCACCTTCATGACCATGTGGCAACAGAGGCTGCAAACAGGAAGGGGTACAGCAGGATGGATTGCTAGGGGCCAGGCCGACACTACTGAAAAGCTGACCCAAGATAAGCAACTCCAGCTTTGAGAATAGTGTAGCTGGAGTAGATGTACCTAAAGTTGAATTTCTGCAGCATCCCCACCCACTGCAGGAGGTCCACAGGTGAAACTCCATCATTAACATTCCGTACTCTTTGCCAGCCCATGGAGTCTTGGAGTTAACAGGGCTGCCATCAGTTGTTGCCCCCCCCCCCCTTCTTTTTTTTTTTTTTTTTTTTTTTACACCAGTAGATCGATCTCTAGTGTCTGTCTTGGAGTACTGGCCTAGGAAAAGTGCTGAGGCTTCTGAAAGTATTCTATTTAACTGGATGAGAGCCTGAGACTACATCTACACCGTGCATTGTTGTGCAATAAGATATGCAAATGAGGTGCAGGGATGAATATTGCCATGCCTCATACCTAATGAGCTGCCATTTTTGCGGCATGGGCTTTTGCACAAGAAGGAGCTGTCTACACTGCTCCTTGCACAAAAAGCCCCTCTTGTGCAGAGCCATTCTGCTGCTTATTTTCAGAAGAACAGCTCTGCGCAAGAGGGCTTTTTTTGTGCAAGAAGCAGTGTAGAAAACTCCATGCGCAAAAGCCTGTGCCACAAAATGGCAGCTCATTAGGTATGCAAATGAGGCATGGCAATATTCATTTTTATGCCTCATTTGCATATCATATTGCACAACAATGCACGGTGTATACATAGCCTAAGAGTTTCATTCCTTTCTAACTCGTAGATAGGATTAGCAGCAGTATAGGGAAGTGGGCTGGGGCTCTGCTAGCGTAAATGCAGGAGACACATTTACTTTTTTCCCCTTGCTGTTTTCGTAACGTTTATATCCTGTCTACTGGGCTCTTAAGCAATCTGCACCTTTTATAGAAAGCCAATTTATTGGCTAACCTCTGCATCATATCTCACCTTTACTCCTCTGGGCCTTGCCCTTTGCACAGGGAACTGAAGCTTCATTTGTCAGGTTCTGTGTTAATGTGACTCTTGTTGCAGTCATGAGTGGGTGGATTTACTATTCCAAATAAGCTTTTTCTGCCTAGACTTCCTCTTCTGAGCTGAGGACATTGCCCGGGCTTTCCAAAGCTCTCCCCACAATGTTGCCACTGACTTGAAATAATAGTGCCAAAAGCTTGTTGTTTTGTAAAAGAATCTGCCCTGTGATGGAGCTGGACTGGCACATTCAACCCCAGCCTCTGCTGAAAGGTCTTTCTCAGCCACTTAGATGAACTTGCAATACCTTGTTGAGCAAAGTAGCAGAACTCCCCTTTTGAACTCAACTGTTCCATTCTAGCATTCAGAGCTTACAGCACAGGGACACTGTTTCAGAAAAAAGGTTGTTTATACGATAGCTATGACCTGTAACTCTTGTCATTTTACCCACTGATACATGAATGGGTATAAATCAGCTACACATCTTGAAAATATAGAAATCCCACTTCATTTAGCTACTACTAACCACAAGCCCTCCCAGATTCCAGTCCAGCCAAGTCACATGGCTTTGTGTAGCTCTGACTTACATAAAAACAAAGATGCAAGGAGGACAAAGTTCAGAGGCATTCATCTGCCCCACCAATCGAAATCAACAAACAGCTATCCTCTTACTGAGTTTTGTACTCTGAGCTAAAGGTGATTGTGTGTTGTAACCAAAAGGAAAAATCTGTTTACTGTACTTCCCCCAGATGGCCCTAAATTTACCCAAGAGTGAAAGGAATTTATTTCTGGGATGGAGTGAGTTCTGTTTTCAAAATGTCCCTGTTTCAGCATCTGAGGTGGTAGTGGGCAAGCTGAGGACCATGTAGGGTTCTGTATGTGGCCTATGAGATGTATTTATTGTTGCTCACGTGTAGAGTTGCCAGATTGCACTGCTGGAAAGCAGCAGAGTTGTTTTTAAAATCAGTATTACAAAAAGTGGAGCACACTTAAAGCCAAGGGCATGTGAAATGAGGTGCATACTGGTTGCACACAGCATTGATTGAGAGCCATAGGCTCCCTCTGCATCCAATCAAAGTGCTGCTACAGTTCCATTGGCACCCCTGCAAATTCTAGGCATGCAAGGGCAGTGAGCAAAGCTACCCTGCTCTGGGCAATTGTCTTGGTTACAATAATCCTGCAGCCCACTGAGATGCAGGAGGCCCACATATGTGGTCACTCACTAGCCTAAGTTGTCCCTCTCTGATCTAAGGGCTTGTCTACACACAAGTTAGCGAGTGCAACTTTAGTTAAATGAATACCTTTCCTAGGTGCTTATATGAACCTTCGATGCTATGTATTGTAGCTGGTTTTGCCCTTGCAGCACTGCTGGTGAAATGCTGTCCCTGCTGTAGAGGTATGGAACTGAAGAGGTAAGGATCGCCTTTTAAAAAAAGGTATGTAGGCACCCAACTCCCATAGGTCTAGTGGTATGTGTTGGTGTATGCTAGGCCCGTATTGCATGCAGCAGGATTGGCTGTGCCCCTGGGCCACATGAAGGCCAAAAAACCCCACACCCTAAATGTGCCTATAATCTTATGGGTTTTATGCCAGTCTCATGATTTTGGGCAGTCTGGCTCATTTTTTACCTGGATGTTGACTAGGCTCTGTGTAAGCTAATGGGAGGTGGGGGCACTCAAGCCTATCCCTACTGAGGCCTGATTTACACTAGAAAATTAGGTTAGTTTAACTTCATCAGTGTGAAAAAAATCCACACTCCGGAACAGTGTAGGTAAGTTGACCTCAGTCCCTGTGTAGGCAGCAGAGTTGAGACACCCTGGGCACAACTACCCTTTGGCTCCCAATTGCTGCTGCTGTCTGCCAGCGCCTTCTCTTGGCGGAGCAGTTTTCCAAAAGCCAGGTTTCTGGGGGTGAATTCTGAACCGGTTGGGGTGGGAAGCCAGTGCCATCCCTGGGGGCAGGTGAAACTGGCTGCCATTCCACCTTAACTGCAAGGGAAGGGAGCGTCTTTTCCAGTGTGCTGCAGGGGCATTCCGGAGAGGGAGGAGACAGATTGCTCACTCACGCCCCAAGAGGAGAGACTTTCCTAGAAGAGTTCAAATGAAAACAAAAAGCCCCTACGGATCAAAAGAGAACCTGGTGCAGACACTCCAGGCATGTGCTGCTGAACACAGCAAAAAGGATTCCAGCTCCAGGCAGATTTACCGGGGCGACGCCTACACTGCTGCTTTACTGCACTGTAACTTTCTGGTGCAGGGGTGTGGAAACCCCCCTCCCCAGCGCAGCAGGCAGTGCGCCACTCCAGCAGCAGCTGGCTGGGGCGCTTTGCTGTAGGCTTGCGTGGTGCACTCTTCTACCTCTTGCTGCAGGGCAGGCTGGCATGGGCAGCCCCACATGTGAAGCCAAGTGACTCAGGCAGGTGTGAAAGCCAGCTGGGGGTGTGATGTTAGTTTGAGGGGGTTCAGATGTCAGGCCTTTTCCACTTGCCGAAGCCATGCCTCACCCACGACATTGCTGTTTACATCCCTGCTCGCTGGGCAGGCAGCATCTGGATGTGCTGCAGTAAGAGGCAAAGGAACAGGAGGTGCTGGAGGCTAAATATGTGATTGGATTAGTGGCCTCTGAACAGCCCAATGGCCCTAGTGTGCTGAATACCCCTCCTGGGATCAACAGCGCCTACTGCTGCCAATTCTGCTCCCATGTGCTCAGCCTCAGTGCCAGCCTGCAGCTTTGCAAACTAGAGCTCCACCAGCAAACCCAATACACATCCTCCTGCCTCTTCCCCAGCCCACACCCAGGTCAGCAACAACCCTGTGCCCTGGCCAGTGAAAGCACCCAGCTACAGAGCTCTTCCTGCCCTAGGCCTGCAATTCCGTAGCAGGAAAGAGACACTCCCCCCCACACGCTCACATCAATGGCTGCCTACCCTAGAGCTCTGAGGATAAGGAGTGAGGGCTAAGGCCTCTCCAGGCTCATGACTTGTGGCTATGCTCTGGCACAGCATCTCAGCACAGGGGCATGAGAGGTGCAGAGAGCAGGGCCTTGCGGGGGCTCCATCCGTTCTGCAGCCCCACAGCCAGCCGCAGGGAGTGGGTGGCATTTTCCTGAATTGAGAAAGAACATATTACCCTTTCCCTCCCCCCCAACAGCCAAAGAACCTGGCTCTGAGGTGGGTAGCAGGAGGAGAGGCTCATGTGTCTAGATTTCCAATTGCAGACAGGCAGGGCTGGAAAGAGCTAAGACAGTGGTCCCCAACGCGGTGCCCATGGGCGCTATGGCGCCCGCCGGGCCATTTCTGTGCACCCGCCGAGTGATTGGGGCCGGCCCTGCTCCTGGGCACACGGCACAGGGTCAGCGCCAGCTCCGGGCGTGCAGCACATGGGTGGCCCCACCCCCAGATCCACGGTGCATAGGCTGTGCTGGCCCTGGGCACGAGGCGCATGGGCATTGCTGGCTCCTGGGTGCAAGGTGCATGGGTGCTGTTGGCTCCTGGGCGTGCAGCGTAT